GAATTCCTGTTGGTCTAGTCATAGTTTTTCATGTGTTACTATGAAGATAAACTGATAGATAATAACAATTTTTGGCGTTTTGTCTGGTACATGCGAGATTGGGATGGTCATAGTCGTCGTTGTCGTCGCATCGCAGGCAAATTGTTATTCGATGTAGAATAGCCATACACAATATATAAAATTTAATTTATGCATTTTATTTGAATTGTTCTAACATATCAATTCGAATTCGTTGCAAAAAGTGCATTTCGCCCCATCATTTCTAGCATTCATGTAAAAGCGTTGCAGCGTTTGGTCCAAAATTCAAAACCATATATGGCCCCATATATATTTACGACAATCGTTGTCATACCGCCACATTCAATAGAAGCGCGCACAGGCACTTGAGACCGGATTTAAACTAATTGTCAATTTTGCCCATCGACTGCGTTGTAGATTTCATTCGCATCTCTAATGAGTGGGCAGAGCACTTTGAAAATGCATTTCGAGTGATAACCAGACAGAGAGACACAGTGTGTGTCGCAGAAAAAGAGAGGGATAGGGAGCATAGCACAAAATTTGGCTTATTTGAATGATACGTATAATATTTGATATTTCGATTAGATTCGGATAGAATCAAACACTTGAAATAAATCATGCATATTTTCAAAAGCAGTGCATAATCTTTGCGTTTTCTATATTTCTGGTGAAATATCGTATTGCGCTGGTTTTGTCATTTGTTTATTTATATATTTTTCTCGTTTCGAACGATATAGTACCGTTTTAGTTTGTTTGTGTTGTTGTTAAATAGACTCGGCCAAATGGGATAGTTTTCGGCATCGCCGATGATTTATAGCGGTGCAATATGCAAAATATAGAAAATATTCTCTGTATTAGACGCCATTTTGGCCATTTATTTCGCGCAGTCAATATGACAAATGCCAAATGCGGTCTTTTTATGTTGCATGGCTTTAATTTATAAGCGGCTTTTATTCATTTTTAACGACTGCCGAACGCTATTCAGATCATTCGCACTCGCAGTGTGAAGGATTGGAGTGAGCGGGAAAAAAGCAAACGCCAAATCAAGCCACACTCAAAGTCATTGTCTTATTTTGGTTAAATTAATCGTTTGTCTCTATAATTATCTGACATTCGCTATTGTTGAATTCGGATATTTCAATGGAAATACGAATCCGATTATTGCGCAATCCCTTCTGATTGCTGTTATTGAGCTGCGTTAATTTACCGAAAATATGCAACCGAACTGGCACAAACAGAAAGAAAGAAAAGAAAACAATCGAATCGTTTTTATGAAGCAACTGTGCTTTAGTTTGCTCATTAAATCCCGAAGCTGAGATTTAAATCGGTTGCATTTTAAATGAGCATTTCAACATAACGCACCACGAACACACATTCTCCACGCTTAGACCGCGAAATGTGTATGGAAAGAATATGCGCAATTTAAAATCGCTCACGCATTTTTACCTCCATCAGACAGATAGAACCTGAAAGAAACCGATGCACGTTCATAATAGACAATCGGCTCAACTATTTCCAAAGCGACAGACTGTAGTACCGATTTTGCTGCGGAAGAATATGGTAAAAAGCAAGGAGAGACAGAGAAAAAAATGAATGGAATCGTGCAACCGATTTGAACATTTTTTTACGCTTGAATTTGTTACACGATCGATATTACAAAGATATGCGAAAAACGGGCATCGGTTATTGAAAGTGCTCTCTCCCCCTCTCTTTCTCTCTCTCTCTCTCTGTGTGTGTGTGTGTGTCGATGGGTGTACTTGATTGTTGTCTGAATTGTTCAATTGAGTCTAAAACAATGGGTTCGATCGTTGTGTATGCTATGTATTTAACATAATTTATTACGTTCTCCAATTTTAATGCTCGATTCTCCGTCTCTCACTTCGGTGCATCTAATAAATAAAATAACGAGTACAGCTCTCAGTGCTCACAAACAGGTTACAGGTCATCAATTTAACCACATTAGCTTCGTAGTGCCGATTCGCTTGTTCAAAATTTTGCACCAGACATTTTACGCTTTCGAAAAGCTACACATTCGAATCGATTGAATAGAAGCAGCAATGGAGAGATGATGACCCTCTTTACCCCAATCCAGTTGTTGAGATAGCGACGGAAAAAAGAAGCGAAATGTTTTTGGCTACAGTTTTATGTGACCTCAAACCGATTAATCAGTTCTACGAAATGTAAACGTGCAACGGATAGATCGATCGATCTGTTTTGTGAAGTTTCTGGTTGTATGGGACGAATTCATTCGCTCTGGAAATATTCATCAAATGCAAAACTTATATATCGAATAACGAATCGAAACACACCGAGACAGAGATGGAGAAACAGCTTGACCGGCCTAGTCGATTAATGGCTACAAGGAGCTGCTAACTCAGCATACATACATATACACTCATAATGAACAAAGAGCATGAAACCAGAAGCGCATACCAAATCGACGAGAAAATTATCGATTCCCCATGTATAATTGTTACACAAATGAGGTGAATTGTGTTTTGGTTCGGTTCGGTTCGGTTCGATCACGGTTTCACCGTTCACCAATATTTTTTGTTTCCTTTTTCTCTTCTCTCGTTTTATGTTGTTGTTTTTGTTTTAAATAATCAAACATTAATTATGTTTGCCTGGCTTAAATATGGCATAGGCGATACACTATATAGAGTGGCTGGTAGACGTATACGTACTGTAAACCAAACAAAGGAAGAAGAAAAAAATGTGTAGTATGAGCGAAAAAAAGAACGGTAGCAACAGTAAATCGAGAGAAAAAAGTGCATACGCCAAACAGAGGGAAAAAAGAGCAAATGAAAAACGGATATTCCTGAGTAGAATGCATGTGCAATATCCAATGCACTATTGTTTAAACGAGTTGCTTTTTGTGTTCTGTACCAAATACTGTTGTTGTTTTTATTCGGCGTTCTTTTTTCTCTCTCGTTATGCAAACAGAAAATAACAAACAGTAAATGCATTGTTTTTGCTGTTTTTTTTTGTTCTCTGTGTGTTTCATTCGGTAAAATACACGGAAATTTGAATGATAGAGACCAGAATCTCTCGATGAATTGGCATATACAGTTGCCATGGTGCGGCAGTCGCTGCCGTCGCTGCTCAGTAACTCCTTCTCGATTCTCATCCATTATTATTATATCGCATATGTGCCATGCATCTGGAAATGGGATTTTTGCAACGAATTGTTTTCTCTCTCTCTCTCTCCCTCTCCCATTTTTTCCTGTTTGGTGATATTTCGAAATTGCAGCTACTGCTGCTGCATCGAGGAGTATGTTTGTTGTCAACATTTGAGTAGTAAAAGAGTATAAACATTTTGTAGTTCGAAAAACTACAATGGTATTACCGAAAATAACCGAAAAAATGATTAAATTTTCATTCTGTGATCAAATTCAATATTGCAATCGCATCAACATGGCGACGCCAACGAAATGAATTGATGCATCAAAATGGAATCCAACCAAAAACGTTTGCCCAAAGCAATTCGACACACACACTGAACCGTTCAAATCAGACTGAAATACGCACATTCACTACCGGTACATGTTAATAATGCAAGTAAAACAGAGCAATGCGATGATCCAGTGTGACAAACACACGGTAAAATGTACAATCCGCTTGCGTTCCGAACAAAAACTGCCAATAAACACAAAAGCATTGCTATATCAACTGGCAATTTGCAACACGCCAAACTATAAGCGGCAAAAGGCAAAATATGAAAAATTATAAATTAAGAGGCAATTTGAAATTTTAATCAAAACTATTGGTGTTTCAATAGTAGTTTTTGCATGAGTTTGGCATATATTGTAACCATCGCATGTACGGCGATGATGTGGGTGGATGTGGGTGGATATGTGTGTACTGTGCATTTTCCACTGATTTCCACTCTCGCTCTCTCTTTCTCTCATTCTCTCTGATATAAAACAGTTTAATTATAACGATGTAGCGAACTGGCAAGTGGAAGCAATACCACTTGCACTGAATACTGGCGAATATTTCTCTGATTTTTCACTCGCCGAAAAACTTTTTCGAGAGTTTTTGCTGCATTGTTCCATTCGTGGATAATATTATCAGCTCAACAGCGGCACTGAGTTTGTATTTGTGTGGGGAATGCATGCATGTGTGGTTGCATCAGAAAATAATAACTTTTCCGATTTACTGAACGAACAAACACACTCAACAATCGAAACATGAATGAATAGCGAGAGTTTTTGGCGAGTTAAGCACGAAAATGCACATGCATATTGTGAAAAGTTAATAATAACGACGACGACAACAACAACAACAATAACAAAAACAACGATGACGACGGCAGACATTTATTAAAACGATTTTTTTTTTGGCACTAAAAGTTGATCGGTGTGTGTGCGTATGTTTTTCGGGGTTTTTCAATATTCTCTTGCTCGTGCAAATGCAAATGCGTATACGGTATAAAAGTTTTGGAAACGTCTACGTTGGTCGCAAATGGTAGTAACTGAATAATAAACAAAAAAACGGCAATAACCATCGATTGTAACAATGTGAATTCGAGCACAATTCAAATCAATTCGTAAATTAACGGTAAAATTCCCATAAATTTTGTATTTTAATTCAACAAATTTCGAGTATACTTCGCCGGTTCTATTGTTGTTGTTTGTGAATTCGAGCAAACGCAAGAGAGCAAGAACAAGCAACGACCACTTTGCAGCATTGTGTGTGTCGCTCTAGCGTTGGATAAAAATTGAATTTTCAGTTGGGCCAATTAGTTTTGAAATTCAACTAATTAACGGCATTATTAAATATGCTCGAGAATACACGATCGTGCGTTTATTCGCTCATACTCTTTTCAGCTCATTTGTACCTTTTGAATTCATCAATTACGTAGGGGAGTGTACCCGGTTGTGGGCACCGCTTTTTGTTTCAGCCATAACTTGTCACAGAATTCATATTATGCAGACATTTGAGTATCAATGGAAAGCTAGAGGTCTAAAGAAACGTTTTGGTGCAAAATTTGCATTGATTCCATCACTAAAAAAAAATTTGTGACCAATTTTCCAAAGTGTTCATTTTTGGCCAAAAAAAAATTTGTACCCGGTTGTGGGCACCCCCAAAAAAATCGATAAAAATGAGTAAAAACCACCAAAGTATTGAAAAATATTGAGTAATATCAAATTTTATTAATTATTGAAGCCTTCAGGGGCAAAAATGACAATAGAAAATGGCACTTTTTTCAAATTATTCATCACTTTCTTCGTCGTCCAAATCAGTTTCGCAATTTTTGCACGTGAAAAAACTGGCACGCATACCAGCGCAAAATGTAGTCGACAAGTTCCTTTTCTTGGGCAGTGGTGAAAACCTATTGATAAACGTCAAAAAAGAACATTAAAAACAAAGCACATGAGCAGGAGAAAGAAATAAAAAACATATCATATTAGATGGCGTACGTTGACCGCAATCACGAACAAATTCCGTCAATTCATCATCTGCTACGGCTGAGAGGTCTTCATAATTTTCTTCAACTTTCTTCAGATAGCGTTGCAAACTGCTACGAGGAAGATCATGGGACCGTGCAGTCGTTTTGATTTGCTTCTTGTCGATCAAGCAATCCTTAATGGCCTTTACCAGGGCATTTACATCAATTGCTTTCGGTTCAGTTGACTTTTTCGCAGTTGACATGGCTAAAAATCCATAAAAATGAATTAAAAACCACAACAATCAACAAAAACCACGATATATAGCACTCTCTAGCTCAAAAACAAGTGTTTCAAGCGAAAACAAAGAGTGCCCACAACCGGATACAAACGGGTGCCCACAACCGGGAATGGCAGCCATTTTGAAAGTGAGCATAAAAATTCCTCGGTGATCAACAAATGCTCGGATACGGTGTTGATTCATATAATTTATCGAAAATCCTACACATATATGCATAAAACTCACCTTTTTGATGTTTTTCACTTCACTTTATAACACTTCAAAAAAAATCTGAAATCTTCTCAAAGTAAATTTTTAGCCAATTTTTTTTCCGATTTTCGTAAAACATCAACAAACGCGTCTTTTCACTTCGGTGTTGTAGCAGAAAGTGACGGACTGTCAAAATACACAATCGCTCATACTCAGATTCGCCATTTTTGGAATCTGTCGAAAAAAATTTTGGGGGTGCCCACAACCGGTGACTGCCCACAACCGGGTACACTCCCCTACATATGCTGCACGTTTGCCGACAACAACAACAAAAGTGGTACTCTCTGGATGTTTTGGGCAACAATACAATTTTCAGCTCTATTGACTAGATCGAGAGGAGAGTATGTGAAAAAAATTCTAATATATTTTGAAAGAGGAGAGTATGATTTCTGTTGATTCTATCTGCGTTAAAAGGAAGTATGTTGGCATCCCGTCTAGCCTCCGCGGTTTTTCACGGTTTCCGCGAAACTGATAAAAGATAACAACATGGTGTCTTCGGCAAAGTTGTAGTACTTGAGGTTTTCTTTAACATTGCTGAAGACATCTATCTCTTATCTCTTATCAGTTGCGCAAATCGCGCACATAAAAAAGCAAATTTTATATAGAACTTTTTTTTTCTTATCATTTTTCGCGCTTTTCGCGGAGCTGATAAGAGATAAGAGATAACTGACTTCAGCAATGTTATAGAAGACCTCAAGTGCTACAACTTTGCCAAAGACACCAAGTTGTTATCTCTTATCAGTTCCGCGGAAACCGTGGAAAACCGCGAGGACCCGCCAAAAATGAACATACTCGCCTTTAACCATTTTTGAGTCGAAAGAAACTTACTCTTCTCTTTCACAACAAAGTCAGATGAACTTACTCTCCTCTCGATCTAGTCAATAGAGCTATTCAAGTGTGCGGCGTTGGCTCAATGTAATTTTAATAAATAATTTTCACCGAATTTCCCCAATGCATACGGAAACAATTGAATTTTAAAGGTTCAGAAGGAGTTTCAATTGGTATCGATGTTATTCGCATATTGAGCTGCTGTTGCTGTAAATTTTGTTGATTCTTTTTCCTGTTCAACTACACACCAAATTGACATTTTCACAGACGAACGTGAAAATGATTCGTTCTCTTTGACTGCCTCACTGTGTGCGCATCGCTTAACATCAGCGTGTAATATTTGCTTTCGTCATTAACATAATTTTTCGATTCTAAAGTGAATGCGGCATAATACCGAAATAAATGCTTTAAAATGTCCATTAGAGAGATATACAATACACACACAATATACTTGGTGGATTGAATGCCATAAGTATTCTTTTAATAATGAATCCAAATGGAATAGGTTTCATATCGTTCTAGAATGTTTGTTCCAATATATAAATCCACCGTTTATTCTGCTCTTATCGTTTCAGCACACTTTGGCAGCAGGCTGTAGCTCCCCGAACAGCACAAAGCACATATCGAATGCTGCACAGGGAAATTGATGCTAAGCAACAGCGGAATAAGGCACCATAAATAAACGAGCACACAGTATCCAAAGTGAGAAAACGATCGAATCAAAGCCATACGCGCGTTAACATACATTAGCATTTGTTGTATGTATTGAGACTCGACACATAAATTCACCGCAAGGGTTTTTATTTCAACAGAATATAGATTTTTTTTGAATTCCCATCACTTCAGCTGGATCGGCGTCGAATTTACCAAAAAACGCACAACAAACAGACTACAAAAAAGTAACCAATTTTTTGCAAGCCAACCAAGATAGGGAAAAAGTATCATTTGACCTCCGCTGTGTGAGAAAAAAATAACACCGCAAATTTGATTCAGAGGAGTGAGGAAAAAACCAGATTTTATTTCTCAACTTGAAAATGAACGCTGGAAATTAGACAAAAAAGGCAGACGGTCAAAATAAGAAGCAGTTGTTTTTATTGTTAAATAACGCACCGAAGAAATAAATTATTGCACGGCACAGGGATTCATTGGGACTGAGACAGAGTCTAAAATATTGTCCTTATCGCATCGGTTCGTTGATTTTTTCTTCTTTCCCGTGTTTGATCAAATGATTACTGAGCGACGGCGAATGTTGAACAAAGTTATTTCGATGAATTTCTGGAAATTGAAGGCTCACCGTTAAGAGTACGTTGTTGAGCTGTTTTTTTCTTCGTTCAAAACCGAAATAGCAGCAAATGCAGCGTTGATGCTGTCAGCCTGATAAAACCTCTACTCTAAAAACTCATCTCGAATTTTGGCAATTACACACATTCATACATTCACTATTGTCACGCACGAACGACTTGTGGCCGCAATGTGAAACTCTAAATCAAGTCCTTTCTTTTTTTGTTCAGAATGAACAGCATCTATTGCAACTGATATCATTGAAGGCAGAAAGAAGAGAAGAAAAACAGCGGTTATACGATACGAGAAGCCAAAGGAAACCGCTTCAGTGTAATTGTGATCAAATAAATAACACCGCCACAGAAACAATTAAGCGCCACATTTATCGTCAACTTCGTTGATGCCAAACCAAATTACGGTTGAAATTACGGTTCAGTGGTATTTTCCTCTGATTTCCATCCCGATCGCCAAGTTGTGTTCTCGTTCTCGACTCGTATTCATCACAACATTGTCGTCGTCGATGTAGCACTTCAGGTGGTTGTACTCCAGTCGGCAGCATCTACCTAGCGTTGGCATTGGATATCAACAGCATTCTCATTACGATTACCGATTGACACGAGACGACAAAAAAGGGGCACGAAAATCAAAGCCCACTGTGTGTATGTGCGTGAATCAAGGTGAAAGAGGAACTGTGAATCTTTCAAGTGCAGCGACGCTCTTCAAAACAAAAGTGTGTTTGTAATTGCAGAAAATGCATAAATAAAGAGAAAGACAGAAAGCAGACAGCTGAAGAGAAGAATGACTTCTGTGAATGTTTCGAATTGACTGTGAATAAATATGCAAAATGCATGATGGTGTTAAGATTTAAGTGGTGTTGATAAGTGCAGAGCATATTGTATAATTAGAAGAGCTGCATCGAATGCATTTTAATTGCACTGACTTGGAATATTTCTGTTTTTATTTGTGCATGCACTGCACTGAATTTGATGACGTTCATTAAAATAAACGAAGTGATCGATTGAAAAAAAACATTCAAAGTGAACGCAATAATTTAGTATTAAGAGCCCATCAAATTATTTCCAATCATCGATTTATTAGGTTGTGACTAGAGAAAACGACAACAACAAAACAAAAGAAGGAACAGAAAACATGAAAATTATGTCTTTTCACGTCGATAACGAGATTAACATTAAACATAAAAACTTAAGACATTGAGAAAGAGAAAATATAATCGAGTTGAACAAGTAAGAATACGGACTGAAAGAAACATTGACACACGTCGAAAGGAAGTGAATGCGAAATATAAATGCAATAATGATGGATTTCGCATCGATATTCAGAATGCTCCAGCCTTCCACCGTCATCGATAGTGGCGGCGGCGGCGGCGTCTTCGTCGTCAGCAGAAGCAGTAGCAACAACAGTAACGATGGTGTTGGCAGTGTACAATTGCACAAACGCGTTAAGAATATCCGCTTGACACATGGCCAATTGAAGCAGCAGTCACGCTGCAAAGCGAGATTAGTTTTACTATTATTGGGATTATGGATGAATTTAATTGCTGTTACAAATGGTAAGTGGAAAATACAGCTTGTTAAACACATGTTTTTTTTTCTTCCTTTTTTCAACTTACAATCTTCCGCCACCAAATCTCTCGTTCCGTTCATTCAAAGTTAATTAGCTCTAATTTGATTTCATTTCGGTTCGTATTGTATTTCGGTTGCTCTGTCGCTCACAATGCACTACATGCGCTGTATGTCAGTGACAAATAACGAGTTAACCATTCACTTTCTTCGGTTTTGTTGTTGTTTTCAAGTTTTGTTAATCTTTTGTGAGTGTAATATGAGCTGCATGCTTCCTAATCTGAAAACAGAACGACGAAAAACAACGGTATATTGCGTGCAATGGCAAATTTTTACCACTGAAGAAACAGCATTTTCATGTCGAAACGTCAATTTGTGTGCACAATGAATCTCATTTGGATAGCAATCGTCACATTTTCAAGTACTTGGTTCGATTTGTTGTTCACATTTCAAGGTTTTTTTTCATCAGATGACTGCGAGACTTTCTTTTTTCAACCATTGTCAATATTTGACTTAAGTTATGATTATTCTTCATTGAATCCGGTCGTTACATACGGCACTCACACTATCTGCATGCGTTGCACAAACGATTCCAATGAAAAAATTTTATCGTTTCCGCTGCATGCGCTAGTTTATGGCTTCTTATTTTGGTTTTGGCGTGCTTCTTCTTCACATCCGTGTCGTATATTTTTCTTTTTTCTCCAATTCTGGCACAAGTTTATGGCTCACATTCGTTTTCACTGTCGAACGTATCGAAGTGACGCGCTTATCTCCATTTGGTTAAATGTAGTGTAAAATAACAAGTATATTTTAATGGTATTTTGTGTATTTATGTGCTATTTTGACAGAGATCAAAGCCCGATGACCCAATAAAAAATGGTGTGAATGTGTAACTTGTTCAAGTATTTTAGTTCCTCTTCTATGATTTTTTTTGCTGATGTGCTTGTCATACGTAGCTTCTAAAGTTCACAATATCAGCAACCAAAAAATCATTAATATTTCAATGCCATCACATTTATGTCTGCACTTTTTTTCATTTTCTTTTCGATTTGTTGGTTTCGGCTTGAATTTTCTTATTGAATCATAGATTTTAGAATCACGATGTTCTGAGCCGTCCGAGGGAGAGAGCTCTCACTTAACATTGATCTCCAAGTGACAGATTCATATAGTAGGTGAATGTCATTCGAACGTATATTTGTGAATTTATTTCGCTAGAAAATTGTACATTCGAGAGACTCTATGATGTTGAAACCAGAGCGTGTTATGGGCTGATGTCAGCAGCACTAACTAACGTCAGTTGCTGATATCAGCTGCTGAAGAGTAAGCGTTGCGTTGATTTAACGCATTTGCAGTGCAAAATTCATATTCCTTTAGTGAAAGGGAAACGTTCAATTATCGATACACATCCTATTTTTGAATTGAACGTTTCCCTTTCCCTGAAAATGCGTTCAATCAACGCAACGCATACTCGTCAGCAGCTGATATCAGCAACTGACGTTAGTTAGTGCTGCTGATATCAACTCATAAGACGCTCTGGTTGAAAAAAATAGAAAACAAGAAAAATATGTTCCATTCGCTTGAAATTTATTTTTAAAAAAAGAGAACCCACAAATGTTTGGCAGTTCAAATGTTTGTCATCGAGTCCTCGGGAAAAAGAAATTAAAATACCAACACGACCGATTCAATAGAATACTATGTCTACATACTGCATGTATCATTGGGGAATTTATGACGGAATAAGACCAAAAAACATCAATACAACAAAACGAAAATAACGATCCGATTCTCGAAAAACTAGATTAATAAAAAAAAAACAAATGTCTATAGCTAAAAGCATCTAACCAAATCGAAATCATATTGAACGAATAAAATTTATTGTGACAGAAAGCACAATCGAGTAGATGCAGACCAATAGCAACAAATCGTTTTCAATGCTCAATCGTCAACGGTGTCTCGATATAAATACCACACAGAGAAAAATTGATATGTTAACTCGAATATATGCAACAGCATTTACCGAAATACACAACGGCACGCCGAAAAATAAGTCAGTGTGATTACGGAGAGAACGATACAGAGAGAGAGAGAAAGAGAGAGAGAGAGAGAAAGTCATTGGGAGACAGAGAAGGAGAGCATGAATGCATCAAATCGATTTACTGCTCGGTCAACATTCTATTCAGAGCGAATGGCATGAGCAACACCAAAAATAGAAACGACCATAGACTCAAAGGCTGTAGTATGACCACCGTTGCTGCCACCACCACTCCAACAATGTGAAACAATCAAAGTTGTATTTTATTTCTATATTTGCTTTTTATTCTATGTAATTGATTGCATCGATTACTTGTCGCTACTTTTAAATGGAACGAATTTCAATTCGAATTGGCTGCGTGCGTGTTTTTATTTCGCTCTCGTATTTTGTTGCATTTGAACATTTATATAAAAATTCGGTAAACTTTTCAAGTGGGCAATAAAAGTCCATCATATGTTTTATTGATACAGATTTACGGGCAAATTCGACACACATGCATCGAATCAGAGTCGGAGTCAAATGGCCATTTTTCATGAGGACATGGTGCGTGCGTGCATGCATTGGTATTTATATTTTTTCTAGCGATGCTCCCATTTATAAATGACATTCTATGGACAAATTAATGTCGTTGTATTTGCATTGGAGGATTGACTGAACGCATCGATATTGAACATTTGCTGAAATATACAAAAAAAACAAACACGCTCCAAACTGCTCTTAATGTCGACACGAACATTTCAGATTTACAGAAGAAAAAAAAAGCTAGAAAAATTTGTGCTGCATAAATTCAATTTTATTTTAAATGCATTTCGGCAAACACAAAAGTCGTTTATTATAGTTGAACAAATGATTGGAGCTCGGAAATGCGGTGAATTTGTACACGTGTTCTCGTGTTCTCGTGTTTAGCATTTCTTCTGGATTTGGAGAGTTAGAAGCTAAATAGATGCTTATCTGGCGCGTACAAACAGCAAACACGGGCCATCCGCCTTGTTTATTATATCTCTCTGTTTCGCTTCGCACACGACTTCCACAACAGCACATCGTGTGCAGAGTTCGAATTGTGGCGTTTCGGCAAGAATGTTCATATATATTTATATATATATATATATATGAACCCGTGAGCATAAAAACAACGTATTGACTCTTCGCCGATGAATACGAAACGCAAAAAAATCGCCGAACAAAGTGAAACACCAATCTGTTATTGGATCAATATGAAACATGAAATCGTTGGCCACTATTTTATTTACGTTGCACTTTGTTTCGAAGCGCGGCAAGTGTTTCATTTTGTTCCAGTAACAGAACGTTGTATCACTTTGTTCGGCGACGCGCTCAATGTACTGTTTTG